CAAGGCCAGGGATGGGGCCAGGACCAGGCACAGGCCCGAGCAGCGGCAATCGGCTCCCCTGTGGAGCGCTGGGCGCTGGGCCCCTCCCAAGGCTGGGCAGCCTTTCTTCTGGGTTGCAAGGCTCTCCGGGGATTCTACAGTTTACTTTGAAATGCATAAAAATAGATCGAGGTGATAGAAGAATGGAAAGATAGATATATAAACAAGTAAGTGCACTACAATGCTGACGCAAGATCTAGGTGGTAGAAACACAGGTTTATACTGTAAAATTTCTTCAAGTTTCCTAAGTTTCAAGTTTTCTAGACTGTGGGAAATGATCATTGTTTCTGTCTTTCAGGGTTTTCTAAATGTATTTTTTGCAATAAGGTTGAACAACATATAATAAAATAATACTGTATGTATATATTATAAAAGGTATATTATATATGCTTGTAAATAGATATAGCTTTTAGTAAAAGCAAGGAATTCAGTAAATGATGTAGTCAGATGAAATCATGTCAGCAGTGGTTCCAGGCATAGCAAAATGAAAGAAGGTGGTCAGTCGTCACTATTGAATACCACCGTGCCTGCTTCTTATTTGTGCAAACTGATCATACACTGGAATCACTCAGGGCATTTTTTAACATACAAATACCTAGTTCCTACACTTGGAAATTCTGAGATTTATTTGAGTGGGGATAAGGCACTTATATAATGTTAAATTTCCCCCATGTAGCTCTAATGGACGGGAAGATTTGGGAATTACACAGTTAATCGATGGTTCTCTACCTTTAGTATGTAAGAATCACCTGATGCTTGTTAAAAAAAAAATACAAATTCTTGGACCCTCACCTCTAGGTCCAGAAATTCTAATTCTTTCAGTTTGAGGTAAAGTCTAAGCAGAAATCTGCATTTTTAACAAGCACCCAGATTTTCTGGTAATGGTGTTCAATAAGAAACAGTTTACATAAATTCAAGCAATTATGCTTTATGTATGTAAGGAAGTTGAGAGAAAGTACCTCATGAGGGCAATTTTTACCTTTAAATTCATATGGCTGTGAACATATATATGTACATATATATTTTTTAAATATTTCACTTTTTCCAAATTAATCTACTTACCAGTTTCCATTTGTATTTTACCTTGTAAAGGCAAAAGTGTCATCTAGGGGTAAAGACTGGTAACTGCAAGTTTATTCAAGTTTTTGCATTAAATTATTTATTTGTACTTATTCTGTTTCTAAATGGTCCTTGCCCAAGCAGTAGAGAAGCAGGACAGATCCATGATTAAGAGTTCTGAAGTCCTACTGACCTCTGACTCTTTGCTTTGCCACTTACTAGCTGTACGATACACAGATTCCTTTATCTGAACAGTTAGACTATCAGTAGTGCTTACTGCACAAGGTTAAAGAACAGCACATATGAAAGTGCTTAGCACAGCATCTAGTATTTACTGCAAGCTCAGTGGAAGGTTATGTTTTTTTAATCCCAAAATCCACTCACAAAATATGGTTCATAGTGAATTGAATATGACTCTACTAGCAAATATTATTCTTGATCATTGTGAGAATGTTGCTAATATTAAAAATTTGAAATAAAAGTTTATCTATAGTCACATTCATGCAAACTATCTTGTTATGATTCCTAACTTTAACAAGTCTCTTCTCAACTAAGAATCAGTTGTGAATTCACATTAGTTCAATTCACTAAGAATTTACTGAGACCTTTCTATGATTCAAACCCTGTGCAACACACTCCAAGACACACCAAGTAAGAGGCAGTTTCTGTTTTCCATAGATGAACAAGGCCTCTCCTAGAGCCTACAATTTTTGCTGGAGAACGTAAGTAGCCCATGGCACATGGACCAAGAGTGGCCTGTAGGTGATTATCATTTACCTGTGGTCCACTTGCCATTTAATAAAAGACCTATTTTCCATTGCTTTCCAAAGCCACTATGGCCAGCTGTCTATGACTACTGAGGCTGGCAGCTGCTCTCAACACCACCCTGCAAACCAGGGTCAACAAATGTGCCCCTCTCCTGCACATGAAATGCTTCTTGTCATGTTTTAAAAAAACAAAACAAAACAAAACAAAACTGGTCCCAGGTCATAGTTTATTAGTGTGGCTGCTTAGAACATGGTGGTCACAGAACTAATACCAAGCATATGCCAATATTTGCCAGAGTAAGATCCAAAGATCATTTGCTGTCTCTCTCTTTCTCTGTCTCTCTCCTTGCTTGACCTCCTTCCTTTCTTCCTTCTTTCCTACCTTTCTTCCCTTCTTCCTTCTTTTCTGTATATGTGTGTGGATATGAATATTAAACAGTATATTACATTAAATAAGAATGTTTTAAAGCTTTTTACATATATAATATGTGTAAAATAATATTTTATATTCTATTAGACAAGAATGTATGTAAAATTTTTAGCACAGTGACTAGCACATAAAGAATACTTATGTACTGGCCATTATTCTAAGAACTTTACATACATTCTCATTTAATTCTCACCATAATATTAAGAAATGGATTATATAATTATTCTTATTTTTAAAATATTATTTTGGGTTTAGAGAAGTTAACTGATTTACCCAAGGGCATACATTTAGAAAATGATAGAGCCAAAATGCATTATTCAACCTCAGTATTTCTAACATCAAATCATATATACATATGATATCATATATAACATTATATACAATATAATATATAATTTGAAATTATATTAAAAACATATATATAATGTATAAATAGCTTTTTCAATGGACAAGAAAAACAGTGAGAAGTGTGACCTAAATTCATTCCCAAACAGAGAAAATAACTCAAAACATATGTTCTAGTAATGGTGGATCAGTAGCACAAATTTTACAAAAGTTGCCAATTCCGTGAGTTGCAAGCAATCTGTTGGTTTCAAGGTGCACATCTTGTATTCATTTTCTGGTCCTCAAAGAATAGGAGGAAAGATGCAACAGATCTAAGAGATCATTTGCGTTCACAGCAGATATGTGCTTGGTTGGTGTTAATCCCTGTTTAGAACTGGACAAAACCCAGCAACATCAGTGTTCTCTCCAAACATTTCTGCAATGTTATCTTTGGAAAATCAGGTTACTCTATATTAACCACATGAAGGAACATCTTTTTAATGCTTTGGCCAAATGAATGGATTTATTAAACATATTTACTTAACCTGTTTCTTTTTCTATTCATTTCAGAATATTTCCTTCTTTAATTGTCCTTTGCGTGCTCATTATCTATCTTGATTATTAGCCAGATTACTTTTTAAAGCCAGCTAGAATCTGTTTTCAATTTTTGTTTTAGAATGGTCAACCACAGCATTCCCAGCATTTGGCCCGAAATTCTCAATTAGATTGCAATGACTCTTTAACTTGAAAATATTGTTGTTCATTCTGGCTGTATACTTAACAAGAAAAGAAAAACAACTTTCTTCTTACTTTGATAGCTTTCCACCAAACAATAAAAATCTGATCCAAAATACCAAAGTAGTATCAATTCATTGAAACTCGTGGGAAATAAGACAGAAGGAAATTAAGTGGCACTGAAAATTTTGACAATAAGTTCATTTAGTGTGCTGTTTTAAGAACTCTAACCTGATCAAAGCAAACTCAAAATTTGAGTTGTGGTATTTAAAAATAACATTTGTTCTTTGTTTAGAATTTGATTATTATAAAAATATTATTCACTTCAACTTTTGTAGTGTTTCATTCTAAAGAATTTCAATTTCACATCAGTCTCATTTTCTTTTTTTTTCTTTTTTTGAGACACAGTTTTGCTTTGTTGCCCAGGCTAGAGTGAGTGCCATGATGTCAGCCTAGCTCACAGCAACCTCAACTTCTGAGGTTCAAGCGATCCTTCTGCCTCAGCCTCTCAAGTAGCTGGGACTACAGGCATATGCCACCATGCCCAGCTAATTTTTTCTATATATATTAGTTGGCCAATTAATTTCTTTCTATTTATAGTAGAAACGGGGTCTCGCTCTTGCTCAGGCTGGTTTTGAACTCCTGACCTTGAGCAATCCGCCCACCTAGGCCTCCCAGAGTGCTAGGATTACAGGCATGAGCCACCACGCCCAGCCCAGTCTCATTTTCAATTTCTACTCAAGGATGGTTTAATAAGGGCATAAGGAAAAATTCATTTTCTGTGGGGTAAATCTTAATAAGAGAAGCCAAATTCATGGGCTTCCCACTTTACTAATTTATTTCTAATGCTAAAGCTGTGGAGGTTTATTCTCCATGATTTTCCACATCCCATTATTTGAATGACTAGGTGGTCCTGGAATAGGTTTAGTTGGGTAAAACTTGAGCAAACAGTATTTAAACATTATAACTGTACACAAATGCACTATGCACTATGTCAAAGAACCCTTGACATATTTGGCTTAGGATTTTGCCAGTTTTCTGGTTGAAAATCAATGCTCCATAAGAAGAACACATTTACTGAATACCACCAGCAGTCAGTAAAAATAAATAAATAAATATATAAAGGTGCAAGATGAAAACAGCAATAACAAAAACAATGGCAGCATAAAATTACTGATGCATACGTTGTAGCTATTCAAATGCAAGTAACTATAATTAGACACCACATTAACAATCATTCCCTGCTATTGACATTTCCACTCATAATTTCCTAATACAGATGCTACCAGTCCATCTAACTATTGATTTGGAGAATATAAAGTACCAATTATTTTTTTCCATCTCATGTATTATTTTATGTAATAAGTATATAAAATATTTATAATCTTTAATAAATATAGTAACAGCAATCACTTACCAATAACCATGTGCCAAGCACTCTGCTCAATGTGCATTTTTTCCATTTAATCCTCCTTACAACCTTAAAAGGTAACCATTATGTTTTTGTTCACGTACAGATGAAGAACCTGAGGTTCAGGTGGTTTAAATGACTGTCTGAGGTCACACAGTCAATAAGTGACTACTGATTGTCTCTTTTTATTCATGCTGTCACTTCTCACTCCATCCCCCTGAGCCCCATTTCTCACCTGGACAGCAAGAATGGAGAACACTCCCTTTCTTCCTTATTTCTGAATATCGAAGAATGGCCAGACTGGCAGTCAGCCACCTGTTTCCTGGAAGAAGAACCAAATAATGAATAGTAGAATTCAAGCAAATAGATTCATGGAGCAACTACAAATACAATTTGTACACAGGCAATTACAAATATAATTATGAATTTGGATAAGGACGTGTCTCCTATAGTCTAAATAGAATTGCTCTCACCATTCAAATTATACCAAATTTGCACTGGAATTTTTAGCTGACATTGATTAAAAAAAAAAAAAAAACTAAATCAAGGTTTCTAACATGGAAAAAAATGGAAACTAGCATGCTTTATTGTTAAACAGCTAAAATGATTTATTTACTGAGAGCAAATGAATGTGTACATAATCTTTCCATGCAAATATATATATATGTAGTCACAATTACCTTGCCCCTTCCCTACACAAAGGCTTTGTCATTAACACTTCTAAGAGCATTAGGTATCTTGCTGGCAAATTTTGCTTCCTTTTCAGATTTAGTTTTCTGGCCCAAAGTCAGCACAGCATTCTGTAAAATGTGGAGCCAAAGATAATGGCTCTAGTATGTCATCCTCTAAAGATGATTCTAAGCAATAAAAAGCATTCCTCCTCAAATAAAGCCAAGGGTTCACTGCCACAGATTTAATAGCATAGTTTTACTCCCTTTTCCCCATTTTCCACTAACTACCACATTTCCACAACCCTTTTTGTTGAAAGCGGCAGAATAAATACGGCAATATTTCAATTTCTCAAAAACACGTAGGCTTATCTATAATACGGCATCACATTGGGCTCACAACTCTGAATCTTTGTGAATAACAAACTAGATATATATCAAAATGAAAAATGCAAACTGAGATGACTAGTATTAACATGACTTAGTTGTTGCATGAAAACTTTGCCCAGGAAAAACAAGACTATAAACACTAAACGTTGTTTGCTTCAAGATGTGCATACAAATCAATTTATCTGAGACAACAGTTTGATTACTTGGGCAAAGAACTCACCTGTTAAATAATAATCAAGTCTTCCTGTAAAATATTCACCTTGCTCTGCCCACCTATCCTAGGTATGAGTTCACAAATTTTGCCTAGTCATCATCTCTCCACCTTGAAATACCTGCCCAGACCCCAACACCTTTTAAACATCCATTCCCCCTTGGAAGGTATTGCTGAAACTCTGTCATGGTGGTGTTCCACCTCACTGCAATGAGTTCTATAATGATATAGTTGGCTTTGCTTTATTAAATGGCTGTTTTGTGATATTTGAAGTAGTTCAACAAAAGAGAATGTCAATTATGATACAGAGACCTGGAATCTTCCAAGTCTAATCATGGAGAACTCAAGCTGTTTTTAGTTTAACCCATTTTAAAAGTATCCATTTTTCAAGACTTAAGAAAACGGAATTACATGAATCCATCGTAATCAATGAATATGGAAATTTTATACAGAAAATTTCAACATTATTAACATAGTCTCATAGATTCTGAATATAGATCAAAAACATTTCTCAGTGGTTGGTTTTAAAGAAGTGTCAGCAGTTTTTTAAAGTGCACAAAAGAGTGCAGAAGATTGAATTTCTGTTTTTTTTTTTCTATTTGTGTATGCATTTCTCACAAATTAAATCCAGATGTTTCTGAAGGCAACATATTAGAAGAGATGTCTTCAAATAGGCCAATGACTAATTATTTGTCTACTTATGGAAATAAGATTTTCACACAAAGTAATTCCCTTTATCCCATATTTAAAATCAATTCAAACTAAAGAATAGACAAATTTATAACAGCAAAAATCTTAATGAATTAAGCTATAGGGCTCTAAGTCAATGCCAAAAAGCCTCATTATCTCTATTTTCATGAAGTATTGACATTATTTTTATTTAAGAAAAAAATTGTTGAGCCCACTCTGAATAAAAACATTGTGTTAATAATTACCTGTTTGTTTTTTCCTCTTTCTGGGAGAAAATATTCTTAAGCTTTACATACGATAAAAGGTTAATAACCAGAATCTACAAGGGACTCAAGCAAATCAGCAAGAAAAAAACAAACAACTCCATTAAAAAGTGGGCAAAAGACATGAACAGAAGCTTTTCAATATAAGATAGACAAATGGCCAACAAACATATGAAAAAATGTTCAATGTCACTAATCATCAGGGAAATGCAAATTAAAACCACAATGAGATAGCACCTTATCCCAGTCAGAATGGCTTTTATTAAAAACTCTAAAAGCAATAAGTGCTGGCATGGATGCAGAGAGAAAAGAACACTTATACATTGTTGGTGGGGCTGCAAAACAGTACAACCTCTATGGAAAGTTGTATGGAAATATCTCAAAGAATTAAAAGTAGACCTACCATTCAATCCAGCAATTCCACTACTATATATTTACCCAGAGGAAAACAAGTCATTTTATCAAAAAGACACCTGCACTCGAATGTTTATTGCAGTACAATTCACAATTGGAAAGATGTAAGCACAACCCACGTGCCCATCAATTCATGAGTGAATTATCAAAAGGTGATATATGTATACCATGGAATATTACTTAGCCATAAAAAGGATGAATTAGTGCCTTTTTGCAGCAATTTGGATGAACTGGAGACTGTTACCAGAAGCAAAATATCTCAAGAATGGGAAAAGAAATACCACATGTACTTGCTATTAAATTGGAACTAACCAATGAGCACACATGTGCACAGAGGGAAGTAAAACTCAGTGGAAATCAAGCAAGTGGGGAGGGAAGTCATGGGGATGGGCAAAAACCTACCTAACAGGTATAGTCAACACTATCTGGGTGATGGGCACACTTATAGTCTAACTCAAGCATCACAAAAGGGATCCATGTGAACAAAAACATTTATACACCTGGAATATTTTGAAATTAAAAAAAAAAAAAGCTACAGAAAAATAAAAACTGCCTGTTTGAATTCCCTGGTATTTATACCCTGGTATAAATACCCTGTCACTTCAAATACACTAGTATCTATGCTAACTGTACATACCATCTATGTTAACTAATGATGTACTGATAAATTACTTGAAATAACACTTGCTTATATCAGTCACTTTTTCAGTCTTCATGCAGTGGATCTAGCCAGGGTTCCTAGACAAGTAGTTTAGTCTTTTACAAAAGAAGGAAGAATAATTGACATGAAAATATTTCTACTTTTCCTGGGCAAAATCCCTAGGGTAAGGAACCACAAGGACCTATATCACTGGATTAAGTGAGGGAAGAAAAATAAAAACCTGAAAAAAAATAAAAAGCACAAATTAAGATGTCATTGTGTCACCAGGTGTGGTAGCATGGCCCTGTCGTCCCAAGTACTCAGGAGGCTGAGGTGAGAGGATTGCTTGATCCCAGAAGGTAAAGACTACATTGAGCTCTGATCATGCTACCACACTCCAGCCTGGGCAACAAAGCAAGACCCCAGTCTCAAAATAAATAAATAAATAAATAAATAAATAAATAAATAAATAAATAAAAACAAAACAGATTAGTGACTATGACACCATGGAGAAGTCAGTATGATTCAGTAAGGTCAGTAACAGTGGCACACTCCTGTAGTCCCCACTACTTGGGAGGCTGAGGCAGGAGGATCACTTGAGCACAGGATTTGGAGGCCAGCCTGGGCAACACAGTGAGACCCTGTCTCTTAAAAAATAAAAATAGATGTCAATGACTCAGTCTATCACGTGGCCTTCCTGTAGAACGTTAGGAGGTAATAGAACTTCTCTTCAGCTATTCTTTTTAGACAGGAGAGGAACTATGTAGGCTAATTACAAATAAAAAACAATAAATGTCAGAAAATCTTAGCCTTAAAATAAGTGGGTTTTGTGCTAATAAAACACATGCTTTATCATCAGAGGCTATGACACTATCACCCTAAGAATATGGATAAGCTGATTAGAAAGAATAACCAAGGAAATTTTCATCAGAAGTATAAGGTCATTTAGCAGCCCTGTTGTGAAGGATGTTCTCTACTTTATTGTCCATTATTTAGACATGTGAAGAAAAATGAAAATGTAGATCATTCAAAGTTACAGATAATCTTAATTCACATTTCATATTCATATGAAATCAAAATTTCATATTTGTTCTATGAAATCTTTTAGAAGTTATACTTTGATATGAACTTTTAGATAAAATGGCTAAGGTTGCCACATGGCACAACTTTACTCAGCAATGACGACAGACAGTGACCAGAGAGGCTGCCTTCGATGAAGCTGCAAGCCTAGTGAGGCGAGGCGTGGCGTGTGTCTTAGTATCTTCCCGGATTTGGTGCTCAGCTCAGCATCTGCCTCACATTAGCTACTTATTTTCTAATCTGTGAGGGAACGTTCTCAAGAAGATAGTTATTCCCAGTTACAGATGTCAGTACTACACAATTGTTTTACTTAACTTAGAGACATAACTGAGAACATACACAGCAAGTCCATCATTTCTTCAACAGCAGAGCCACAATGGCTAAGGAATCAGGTGGCTCGAGTTCAATTCTATCTCCAGTGCTCGCCCGCTGTGTGACTTTGGGTAGGTCCCTCAGGCTTCCCTGGAGCTGCTCTCCTTGCTATGCAGTGGAGGTGGCAGGAGTACCTGCCTCTGAGGTTGTTATGAGGATTAAATGGGGTCATCCACACAGAGTGGTTAGCGTGGTTGCCTGTTCATAGAGGGCATTCGATAAAGTATCAGTTATCGTTATTACTCAAACCCCAAAATAAAATTATAAAATCTTTTGATAGCTAACTGTGTTCATTTCTTGTGGCTGCTGTACTTTGTCATTACAGACCCAGACATTCAATGTAGGAAGAAAAGAGTTTCCAGCTGCTTTTGTCTGTTTATCTGTAAAGCAAAAAAATTCCCTGAAAACTCTCATGAGATTTCCTTTTTTTGTTCTATTGGCCGGAAGTACGTCTTCTATCACCAGATGCAAGGGAGGCTGTGAAAGGAACTCTATAGTTTTCCCGGCGTGGACAGTAGAAGACATTTAGATAGGTGATCAGGAATAACTATTGTGTAAGCCAATCAGCGGTCCACAGCATACTTGCTCTTAGGAATGCCGGAGGACAGTGTGTTGGGCAGAGGAGGAAAGGGAAACAGAGAGGTAAAACTCTCGTTGAGTACTTGCCATGTGTCAGACAATGAGCTTGACAGTTCCATACAGTTTCTCATTTTATCTTCACAATACTCCTTTGAGGTTACTAATAGTATTCCCATTTTGCAGAGAAGAAAACTGAGATTCAGAAAATTTTGAAATCATACTCTGACACAAAGAGTTAATAAATGATGAGGACAGAAATAAAACTTAAATGTATCTAAATCCAGACACCATGCTGTTTCTAGTATTCCAAAGTGAATTATTATTATACCTATTAGATCATCTATAGTTAATTTTTTTCCCTAGCAGCCACTCTTCTTTAAAAACTATTTTATGTTAACAGTATTCATCAAAACTCAGAGCATTTCACCAAAATCATAGATCACTCCAGGGCTGTGGTTATGGCGGTAGCTGAAATATTCCAGTTCTGTCACAAACATGTCACAAGGAGCCTGGTCAACATATTGCAATAAGCAGTTAAAATGGAAACGTGGCATAACAAGCCTGAGACTTGTCCCCGCAATAGTGAGTGGGATTCCTGGGCTTCTTAGGGCAAATGTGATACTTTTCCCCAAGAATCATTGGTTGAATTGTATTTATTGATGGCAAGCACTGATGGGAATGCAGCTCAATATTGCTGCTGACATCGGGACTTAAATTATCTTAATGTCTCCAGATCTGCCCTTACAGACCTATGTTTCCAAATATATTGCTGAGACATTTTGACAGAGAAGAAATTCTATTAGTGAAGCTTGGCTTATTATTGAAGGAAGGCAAATCCTTTGTTAAAAGTTTCCAAAAACAGGAAAATTTAGATAAGAAAAAAAAAAAAACTATAATTCAAACCTCTGCCCCAGAACTAAAACCACCATTTGATAATCTGAATTGTATCTTCTTCAACCTCTTCTCCTTCCCCTTGAAAGGATCTAGTGCTTTCAATCCCTGTTGGATTTATATAATTTAGACTCATAAGTGTATGTTTTATGAAAGCAATAGAGAAAATCAAAATTCCAGCTTACCCAACAAAACACACTGTGCAAGCCAAAACACATTTTAGATTTTCATTTTGCTCTCATAAAATGTAATGACTGTAGTAACACAAATTAGCCAATATTGACAAGATTTCAAATACTTAAAATGAATTCATTCCTTTATAGTTAAAGAGTGTTCTGTGTAGTGAAGATACAAAATAGGATTGTATAATTTGCATACGCTTGGGATAATAGGAATTGCTGAATTTATTCACCCACGAAAATAAGCACTGACCCATCTACCTATGGCTCTGAAGGAACAGGTAAGCCCTTGTGAAGCAGGAAGGAGAATACCAACCTCTGAGGGATATCCAAGCCCTTCAAAACAAAGAAAAGGAAATAAAAGAGAAAGAGATCTGTTTCAGCATGCCTTGGGTTTAAATCCAGTTTCTGCATCACTCAAATCCAGTAAGCCTAGCTCACAAAACCCCCACAGCCACTTTTGACCACTAGCTTTTTTATTTTTTATTTTTTTAATTTTAAAGAAATTTATTCTGAGCCAAATTTGAGGACCATGACCCGGAGCCACTGCCAAGAGGCCTTGAGCTAGTGGACTCGATGCGGTTAGGTTACAGTTTGGTTTCATACATTTCAGGGAGACGGGGGTTCCAGGTAAAGTCATAAATCAATACGTAGGAGGCATGCATTGGTTTGGTTCAAAGAGGTGGGACATCTCGATTCCTAGCCAGCCAGACTAGCCCCAGAGACAGGTATTAAATGCTAGCAGGGCCACTGTCATAGACTTCATGTGTGGCAGCGCCTGCCAGTATGAGAAAGTTCAACCTATGCTCCCGTCTTAACACTTAAGTGTCTGACTTCCCTTGAGGCTGCCTGGCAAGCAGAACACAGTCTGGAAGGAGTTGTTCTCTTAGTGGGTGAACTTGGACCCCTATAAGACAGGGGATGAGGAAAAATGCAGCAGATAAATTGTTTGCCCTTCTTCTTCTTCTTCTTCCATGAGCAATTCTGATATATGGTCGTTCTATATAACTTTCCCAAAAATGTTCTGCAAGAGTAGCAACCAGCTGTGTGTATGGCAAAGCTATGGCCAGCCTGGTAATGCATGCAGTGTCTTTTATTCCACATAGCTTGGGGCTGCACCCCCCATAAAGCATTAGTTTGTAAGGTTTTGCCACAGGCTTCATTTCTTGATGAACCCATGTTAACACAGAAATAATAATCATACCTGCTCCCAGAAATAGTTTATGAGGTGGGGGCAGGGCTTTAAATGGCAGGCATTTGTGAAGTCTAAACAGCATGAGAATGGGCCTGGTAGGACCCAGGGCTGGTCACTAGCTCTCAGTCAGGGCCACAGCAAAGAAGAGAGGCTGAACCTTTACTACAGAAATGGAAATGGAAATGGGAATTACACTTGTCTATGCCCAGCTGAGATAGAAGATCAGACAGAGAAAGGGCAGGTATTCACCTGGGAGTCTGTACTCTATTTAAGCTCTCAATAACAGTGAGATTCTTTGAACAGGTGCATTTTATAAGAATTAACAACAGACTGAACTTTCAATACAAATCAGTGGAAGGCAAAAAATACAGGACAAATGTGAAGAAGAATTTCCTTCCAAATCTTTACATCTGGGCACTCTAACATGAGCTCTGCCAAGATGTTAGGATGAGATTAGGCGTTAGCAGACATGAAAGAGATTTAAGAAAATCTGTCAGAAGATTAAAGGGAATTTCCACACAATTGCAGCATCACTCATTTCAGCAACTCTTTACCAGTCCTTTCTCTTCATAAGTTAAGCAACAAGTACGTGAAAAATATTATGTGGTCATCAAAGTTATGATTTTATGTGCGTCATGTCAGTTAGACATTTTGAATCTCAGTGTCTTCTTTGGACTACAAATAACACCTGCCCCACAAGATTGTTAGTAGAATCAAAGGAGATAACGTGAAAGACATTTTTAAAGTGCTGCCTCAGCATGATTCTGGTTACCAGGTACAAAATGTCCAAGATTATGAGGGAATTTATTATCTCTCATGACCAGAAGACCAGTAGTAATTTCCAGCACTGGTGAATTCAGTAGTTAAATGGTATCATTAACTTGCTTCCGCCTTCTTCAGTTCTTTTGGATGCTCCTTGAGTTTGCCACAGCTATAAACATCATGTCCTCACACAATTATATTAAAAATTGGGAAGGGAGTGGGCTACCTCTCCCATGTCTTCCCCTTTATATTAGAGAGAAAAAAATCTCCCCAAGGCCAAATAAACCTCCCCTCAGATCTCATTGGCCAGAATCGGATTACAACCCCCACTCCAAATCACTCACAGGTGAGAAGGGCAGGTTGCCCAAACTGGTCTAAACCATTTGTCCCTTGGGCTGGGGGAGGACACTCCTCCTTTCTACAGTCCATTACCACCAAGTGAGTAAACAGGATCAGGGTTCTGTTGGCACAGAAGTGGGGAATGGCTGTTACTAGGAAACCAGAGTGACTGTCAAAATTTAAAAATGTTAAACAGGTTTTTTTTTTTAATGCCCAGCATAAAATGCTTTAGGAGCTTAAAAAAAAAAAAAGGAATAGGAACAAGTTCCTGTCCTTTAGGACCTTAAAATCCAACCCAGAGAAACCACAAAGAAAACAAGCTTTACTGAAAGCAGGAAGATTTATTCTGAGAATATCTTTTCCCTATAAATTTGGATTCTTATAAATTTCCAAAGTAATGATCATGATACTAGAATGTATAATGTGTTTACCACCTAATCAAAAAGCTCTGCAAAAATGTAAAAAGGAGCAAATGAGTGCCCTGACCTTCCCATTAGAAATAACTTTCAGTTTATAAAATGTATACTCCTGATTCATCTAAGAAAAAGTTGGGTTTTTTCACTTTCTTTATATTTGGGTTTTGATTTGCATGATAATTTGTGTCATGCAGCACTCAGTGGGCTTCTTACCTACCAGACCCCAGCATTCATGGCCCTCCTAACATGCTGATCAGAGTGCCTGGAAGTAGAGGGTAATTTCATCTTTGCCTTGATGGGATTGTTGACAGATATGGTTCAGAGTTTCAAAGAATTAAAAACAGAGACAGATATTGAGGAATTTATAAACAGTTTAATTGTTCTATAAAGAACATATAAAAGGTCCTTGGGGATCCCCCTCTCCTTCTTCCTGTCTTTTCTCCACTTTCCATTGCCTCTGTTTTTGAAAACTCTGTCTTGCTATTAGTTTTTAATGAAACCCGTATGTTTATCATATTTTTTGGCAGACTCTATTATTTGCTTCTTCGAGGTTGTGTTATTTATTTTCCCAGACAGATTCCACTGGCAGCCTCTGCAGATTCCTTTACACACAAATGACACCAGGACACCAAAGCTCTAGCGGCAAGAGGCAAATTCTACACCTCGGCAATTCCGCCAGCAAGATACAGCCTTGCCAACTGATTCTTCTTTTCCTTTAGGAAAAAAGCAGAAAGAATGGAAAGCTCTCTAAAAGCCTTGACAAGAAAATATGCTCACATATCTTAACAAAGCAACAAGCTTCAAAGCTTTCTATGATTTTAAATGCTTGATTGACTCTACAACAGCCCCTTTGGACCTATCACTTGCCTCAATGTCGGAAGATCTTGAACACTGAGAACAGACCAGATTAGCATGACTAACTCTCATAATCCCAAAGCTTCAGACATCAGCAAAAAAGAGGAGTCAACCAGACACAGGATAAATAATAATGATGAGAAACATACTGCAAAATTCTCTTTAAAATTATGTCTAATTTTCTTATGTCCACAAAACTTCTAGTAAATGAAGTTATGCAGCTTCATTCAATTATCTAGATGTCATTTAAGAAAAAAAAAAAAGCAGCTGTAGTATAATTTCAAATGTCTCCTTTATGCAGACACAAATATGCTCAAGCCTCTCTATTGTTTAAAGATTTCCTCTGTTCCTCCTGTCTATTCAACCTAAGCGACCATTTTTTCTCTTCACCTGACAGTCAAACTTTTGAAAAGAGATTTTATGCCTTCTCATATTCTTGCCACTCCTTTCTCATGATAATTTGCTCTGTTCCATCAATTTGTTTCTCAATGTCCAGTGACCTCATTGCCAATAATTTTCTCAAATTTTTTTGAAATATTTCTTACTCTTGTTCCATGCATCCTTGTTCCTCGGTTCCAAAGACATCATGCTCACCCAAAAATTCTGCTAAACCTCATCATATCATTCATATCATTGGCTTCTCCTAAATGTAAGCATTACCAGAACCTTCCTTTAACTTTTTTCTCTGTCTAGTTTCATCTACTCCTACAGCCAAAAATCTATTCCTTCTCCTGATATACCTCAAGTTAGCTTTCCCCCAAACCGGATTCAAACACTAGAGTTATCTTTGGATCTTTTTTCTTTTGAACTTCCAACATGCAATCAATTGCTCAGTTCCCTCTCTTCTGTGTCTACAGTTATTTTCCTAATCTAAGCCCAGTTTCCCCTGCCATGCTCAAGATCAAGTTCCCATTGTCTCTCTTGTAGCTCATTCTAACAAACACTCCTCTTTTTTCACATCCTTCCACTTGCCCTTTTCCTATCAGAATTATTTTCTGACATAATTTTGACCAAGTCATCTCTTACTCAAAGCTATCTATCTTTCTATTTTCTACAGAATAAAGATCAGGGTCTACAATATTATGCCTGTGGTTAACAATACTGTATTATGCACTGTAAAATGTGTTAAAAAGGTAAAACTCATATTAGGTGCTCTTACCACAATGTAAAAAAAAAAAAAAAAAAATTAGTGTCCACCTTAGCATTTAAGGCAGTTAATAATTGGGGTGTTAGCAGGTTGTATAACTTCAAAAGCATACAGCCAGTGCAGAATTGTTTAAGCAACCTAACATGGCTCACAAAGAAGAAGGGCATTAGCAAGAACACAAACGAAAAGGATAAGTTGTTTTCATCTTTTTAAAAAAAGTGCGATAGCAAACTTTTTAACAATGATTGTATTGCCATCTGCTGGAATGATTAGAGCACTGCATTTGAAGCAATTCTTTTTCACAAGTGTGAAAGATTTGGTTTCAATTTTCAAAAACTCTCTAAATACAACTTTTAATGTCAAATCTAATGGCGGATGTTAGAGTTTCATGTACCAATTACCTTTGATTTAAAAGCACAAAAATAATATTCAAGAAGAACAAATTATCATGGCCTTTGCTTATAAACAGCTGTGGGTGCTTCACCCATTAGTATTGAAATCATCTCATTGAGCTCAAGAATGAAATGATTGGGGTTGTAGAGAAGTAAAGTGTACTGTCTAAAGTCAGATAACTTTCCAGAAAAAAAAAATTACATTTTTTAACACTACTCAACAACTCACATTTTTTCTCATCTTTTGAGACTCAGAACTAGAATTACCTTTTCCAATAAAGTCTTTCCAAGCCAAGTCTCACCCTCCATGAATTTATAGAACTTACTGCTTGCATATATCCTTCACCTTGGAGACTAGTCACAGTGTACTGTATTGACATGTAACGGTTCTGTGTTGGCCTCTCAATACACTGTAGTGGTTAAGAATCTGGTCTCTAAAATCAAATAGTCTCTTTTCAAAATGTAAATTTTCCACTTAATAGCTGTTAATTGATATTTTTAAATCAATTTCCTTTTCTGTCAAATGTAAATGGCACGCTTTCCTTCACAGGGTTGTTGGGAAGATTAAATTAGCAAAACTGTAAAATCACTGAGAGCAGTGCCTGCCATGTAGTAAGCACTTAACAACTGTTAACTATTATCATTGACCTAAGCAGATTATTACAATTATTGTGTAACTCATACCAACAGGTAGTAGTGAGTCCCACATAGGCTTACAACAGTATTAGTAAAAGAAAGATTTTTTTCTTAGCTATTTTTAAATTAATTTAATTTTTGCAGTATAATTTACATACAGTAAAATTTATCAATTTTAAAGGTACAATTTTGTGAGTTCTGACAACTGCATACAGTTGAATAACCATAACCACAATCGAGATAAAGAACATTTTTATCGCCCTAATACGTTCTCTGCCCATTTTCATAATCATTTTCCTATCCCTAAACCCTAGGGAACCCAACCTCTAGCGACCACTGAATGACTTCTTGTCACTATAGCTTTTCTTTATAAAATTTTATACAAATGTAATCATACCATTATGTAGTCTTTTGTGTCTGGATTCTGTTACTTAGTATAATTTTGAGATCCATCCATGTTTTTCTGTGTAGCAGTAGTTCATTCCTTTTTATTATATATTAGTATTTCATGGATTCTTGGATTGTTTCTAGGTTTTGTCTACTGTGAA